AAAAAAAAATGGTTAAAAGGAAAAGTCTAGAGGTGATTTCTGAACCCAACAAAAGGCGGAAAGATCCATCAATTGCGGATGAAGCTTGGCGAAAGATGCGAGATGCCATTGAAGCCACGTTTTTGTTAAAGTGTCCTGGTGATTTTTTCACTTTCTATGAATTTTGTTGTAAGCTATCTCCAGACGAACCTCTCAGTAGGGTTATTTTTAACAGATAACACATTTTTAGAGGCCTTACGTGAGGAGCTGGACATCGAGCTCGTTGGGCCTTTCGAACTTCTTAATAGGGACTGGATTCCGGACGCGTCTGAAGATTTTTCGTGTTGTTATCGTTACTTCCACGACCCACCCGAATTTGTTACAGTATTTGCTGCTCCCTCTGGATTTTATCATGTCGGATATTTTCGGTATAATTGAGTTCTTAAGACGACATTCTTTAGGGACGATGCAAATGATTTACCATCTTTTATGGCTTCGTCGGACTCCTCCGTAGATGGGCGTTTTGAAATCCTTGGTTGTGATATATTCTCTGTGGTTGCGTATGCCTTACTGTTTACTTTCATCAACACTTTAGAAAACTTTTAAATCGCAAAAAAGGAGCAAAACGTGCACGCATCCTTACAGAAATGCAAAAGTTTGCAGATGAGCGCTCATTCCGAATCGACTTGAAGTCAACTGGTTTGTTATTTCCTCAAGGCTATTTTTTTAGTCAAGCGTGACACTGTTTGTCCGACTTTAAATAGTGTCGGATTACGTATCAATCTGCATAATGGTATCGGTTATCGACCGGTCCCCCTTTCAAACAGTAAGTTTTTCTCCGCTGTATTCCCGGCCCACGTAAAATCTGATGAATTTGCTCCATTTTAAGATGAACACATCATTGCAATCGGATAATAAGTATTTTCACAGACCATGGAAGCAAACGCTTCTAGATTCTCAGCTTGGTGTATCTATACTCAATAATTTCTCATAGATCTGATAAGTATCCAACACGCTTCTCACAAGGCAGATAAACATAATTTGAGCTTCACGAGCAGTCGTTTTGGCTGTTGAATAATCATTTCCAGGGGAGGTGGAGCACTTGCTCTTCACTCCAAGCGAAAAGCCAACAAGACCAACCCAATAATCACCTGCCAAAGGAAAAATAAATGGATAAAATAGGAAAAAGTCCTAGGTCTCCGAAAAAAAGCCATCTTCCTCTCTTTGTTGAGGTCCTGAACATCTCATATGTCTGGTTTTGTTACTAAATTAATTCGGCTTCTTAACTGTATTACTCGCTACA